TATATATATATATATATATATATATATATAAAGATGAAGGTGGAGATGACATTAGAGAGATGCTCTTTATTGTCAATAATACAAGCACATGTATGAAATTTGGTCCTCAACTGGTGATAATTAAAGATGATCTTTAATAATCACCAGTGGAGGTGTATCTTTATGCTAAAGTACTAGGGAGATTTCGCAACCTTACGGAAACGATAACGAATACGAATACGTCATTGTCGTTATCGTCATTCGTGCCTAAATCATTCTTAACAATATGCTGTATGAGCTGAATATGATCCTTGATTCATGCGAAAGGCATGAATCGCCTACTTTGTGACACATATGCTACTGTAGGGGAAGGGTTCTCTAAAAATTGATGACGTAACCGCATTCTTTATCGTTTTCTTAAGCTTGCAAAAACTTCTTTATTATCATGTCATTTAATATTATTCATTGCGTATCACACAACGCCTTGTTCTTTGTTACTACTTGGCTCAGTTAATAGATTATCCGAACTGTAAGCTGAAGGTCTTCGATACGAATCCTGATGGCGACATACGTTTTTCTCAAATATTTACTATCATCGTTAAATTGAAATACCATAGGTCTATATAACGATTACTTAACTTTATTTACCTGTTACAAGCTATTACCATATTAACCGATATTAATAGAAAATAAACAAGATGGTTATTATTTCACAAACCTGTTTAATCCTATTGTAGCCGATCAAGCCAGCAACTAACCCGAAGCAACCAACAAAGACGCCCACAAAAAACATTCCAATGGTCAGGGTTATGGAACTAGATGGAACTAAATGAAATACAAACGTAGATCACAAATTGATATAATTATAATAGCAATTTCGGAACATATACTTTCAATCTGGAGTAAATATTTTTTAGTATACCTACTTATCAAAAATGTGTTTAATTCGAAGGCTCCATTATAAAGGAAACGTATAAATACCAAAAACACAAAACCAGAAACCTTTTCTAAATGAAAACATACCTGTGTTACATGTCTTCAGTGGTTCTATTGCGTTAACCTCTCCATTCTCTGCATAGCATGTAATGTTTGTTTAAAAATAAAAAAAATCTTCATTAATTTTCATCTACACATACCTGTTTTTAATTCGAAGACTCCATTATGAAGGAAATGAAGGAAACCATAGAAATAATAAATTAATTTTGAACATTGAATACTGAAAAAAATTATAAATCAATATTTCAATAGCTTAAACTTGTTGTAGTTACTTCTGGTAACATAAAACAAGATAGGCATTTATAAATACAATTGATATAATCAAATAAATCTTAATGTAGAACTACATTAGTATTGTACATGTAAAGTTCGTCTGCCATCGATTGTTAACTATCCATTGGAACGTGTAAGAAATAACGACGTAGCTCAATTTTCTTTACGTATAAATACCAAAAACACAAAACCAGAAACATTTTCTAACCGAAGAACACATACCTGTGTTACATGTCTTCAGTAGTTCTGTTGCGTTAACCTCTCCATTCTCTGCATAGCATGAAATGTTTATTTAAAAAAAAAATCTTCATTAATTTTCACAGAAGCAATAAGTTCCCCTTTGTCAATCATTTTCCCATCATTGTATATCATAACAGAGGACGGCTTGGGATGACCCTTTGCAATGCATGTTGCAGAGCCAGCTTCAGATTCAAATGTAATGGTAAGATCTATTTCAATTGTGAAAGAAGTTAGCCTTATGATAACATTGTCTAGTTCTAAACAAAATAAAATAATACATGTAACAAATATTCACTAAACTGCTGGTATACAATGCAAGTATATCATTAGACACTGCTTTTTGAGGCAGTGAGAACAGGGTCATCTAGGTCTGAAAAACCATAGTGGAACTGAACTGCATGCCGACAAACACGTAACAGTAGGCCTAAAGATCCCATGCAAAATACAAATTTTGAAATTTACTTCCTATTTTGAAGCAACATGAAAATTATCAACTTAAACATAGACATTATAAGTGTATTTGAAGTATGTTTACCAATAAGTTTACAGCAAAAAAAAAAGTTATAGAATCAGTTCCAGTCACTGTAAGTGTTTTATTATATGTATTTATAATTATCCAGCTTAAAAATCAGGGTACATATTTATTAATTTCAATAATTTCTATAGGCCTACTATGCTATTTCAATAAGCTCATAAATTGTATGTTACTGGAAAATGAGCAAGGTAATATGAAATGTTTTTTATTCTGCTTAAGTTTCATATCTTGAAAAAAATAAAGACGTAGCTGTCACACATACGAGTGTTTATAAACACCATTTCTAGTGTGAGGTCGAAGGGTAGATATTGATTTGTGGTTGGAGGCGGATTCAGTAAACTGATGAGGTATATGGTCCGTTACATTTAATTGTGATAAGCATGTCTAGGAATAAAATGTTATATATCAACCATAACTTATGTGATAAACTTTCTGTTAATGGTTGTGTCTATTATTGTTCAAATGCACGTTTTAGTCTGGATTTGGGTTTAGATTCCATGCCCTAATATCTGTTACTCAGTAAATTCTGTGAAATAACCCTTTTATTGCGTTCCATACCAGGTTTAATTGGCGTCCATTTTTTGAGTCAGCACGTGACTCAGAGTATGTGTTAGTAACTGTTCAGGGAAAGTGCATAAATTTTGTTTTCAGGATGTGATCTGGTTTTCATGCCCATTTTTCGTGATTATGACTATTTGTGATAAAGAATGTTTTGAGCAGCAGTGATTCAAGGTTCTCCCCCACGGCCCCACTCCAAATTTTTTTTAATGAAAAAAGAGAAAATTATTTTTAAATTTAAGTCTGAGAGTGTAATTTCCGGCCATCTAGAGGTGCCCTAATCATAAGTTTTCTTACCTCAGCCTCAACCATGGTGGGGCTGAGGTGGGTGGACCCGACGTCTGTAAAAGTCAATTCTTGGGTCACCTTTCTTTGAATTTCTGGATTCGCCACTATTGAATTATTATAATTATTGTAAGGCTTACTAATATTAGGACTATTTATGATGCGTCTATTGGATATTTCACTTTATCCTCTCAAAACGTTCAGAGTGCGCTACCTCCCAGGAGGATTAGCCCCGCCCCCGGGGCCCTTGGCGCCCTCCGCCCTAGCCGAAAGAAGGGGAACACCCCACCTTCGCTCAGTATAACGGCTCCCCCTCCCTTTTTTTTCAAAATCATGGCTACGTCTCTGATCAGGATGGAAATATCTGAAAGGAAGAAATCTCCGCTTTGTATCTGTATCTGAAATTGGAATCTTCTATTAGTATCAATCCTTACTGGCTTTGCAATAACCAGCTCAAAATTCCCAGAGGATGTTCTTAACCTGTAACGTCATTTACAATCCTTATGCTATTTACAATGCTACTAGGTACTCCTGCTTCGTTTACTTCATCCCATATGATAGTAAGAGGTGTATTAGTAACTTGTGAATAGTCCCATGGTATCACACCACTTTAGTATCACCTTCTTAGGCCACCTGATCAGATGTTATCACTAATTGGCTACGTGTCACTAAAAACATACATTCTGTTGTTATAGTGTTTGTTGTAAAGAATCATATATATATATATATATATATATTTATTTATTTATTTATTTATTGAAGTTGTTAATCAGAATTATAAAGGAATTAGGCCTATTCATCATCCTCACATCATCATCATCGTCGTCGCCATCGTCATCGTCATCGTCATAGTCATTGTCGTCGTCGTCATCCTCATCCTCATCATCATCATCATCATCATCATCATCATCAACATCATCATCATCAACACCATCATCATTTTTTCCCTATCAAATAAGTTATTATGATGGTGTATTTTAAAGGATAAAATTCACCCATTGTCAGATAGTTAGCGACCAACGTATCCGTCGTTCCGACGTTTAAGACCACCGGCCTCTGGAACAAATTGCCTTTCTGTCCTTCTTACCTCAGAGTATTAACAGATTAAGTCAAATTTTACAAGGTGATCTCTTTTTAGTCTGACTTTATTCTAATATCTGTATTGAAAAACTTCTTGTACATGTTTGTATTTTAACATTTCATGAATATTAGCGGGCAATGAATTTCCTTTTTGAGGATGAATAAATAATTTTGATCTTGAATTTTGAATCTTGAGATATTTTTATATGTTCTACTACTTTAAATGCCAATGAATAGTCTGAGATCCCCTCCCCCACAGCTTGTAAAATTGTGCTTGTTTACTTGAAGACTCTGGAAGTCTCTTCATCTGTATTATCTTGACTCCAAGGAAGTTGAGGTTAATAAGCAAAATGTTCTTATCAACCCATCTCAGTAATCATGTAATATTGTTAAAATGGCGATAACCTTTGTGGGTAGTCACTCCATGCTTTCTCAAGCCTAGCATGATAGGGATAGGATAGATGGACTGGTGAAGAAGTCAGGAAGGATAGTTGGGTGTGAGTAGACTCAGTCTACCACGGACGGTTGTGCGAGAAGTTCTGTTTAATATGGGGTGATGTAAGTCACCCCCTTCATTCAGATATTGCCAACTGTTTATTCTTTAAATTAATATATAAATATAAATATACAAATATACATATATACATACGTATTACTTTCAAGTCAAATTGATTACTGGTTTTGCCATCTTCTCCTCTGTACTGATCACTTTCAGCTTTACATATATACCTGCCACCATCAGTTGCAGTTGCAGCTTCAATGTATATTTTAAGTGCATCTTCGCTTGTAGTACATCTACTGGTGTCTGTGGTGCAGCTGAGTGCTTGTCCATCTTTATACCATGTGATACTAGGGACCGGGTCACCATCTTGTTTAATACAGGTCAAGATCACTGATTCACCTTCATGGACTCTGCTTTTTGAGGCAGTAAGAACAGGTTGATCTAGGTCTGAAAGGAAATGATAGTGAACTAAACTACATACTGACAAAAACAAACAAGTAACATTAAAGATATATTGTCCAAATCAAAATACAAAAAAAAATCATTTGAAATTTACTTGCCCATTTTAAAGTAACATGAAAATTATTAACTTGAACGCAGAACATTTAGAGACCAGCTTAGCTCTGCAGTTAATCAGGGGTAGCCACTGTGTGTGCACTAATTGTGGAGGTCTTTATGTCCCGGCTGAATAATTACAAGAGTGCAACGTCTTCCGGATGAGACTAATTAAGCCGTTGGTCCCGTGTGCATTTATGGCCCATGTGCACGTTAAAGAACGCAGTGCAGTCTTCGGAAAATATTTTTTATTTAAGAGACCCCAACGGAAATAAATATATTCGATTTTTTGGGGGTTATCCTGATCAGCAAATGTTTTACTATAAAATTATCTTGTTATTGTTCATTGTTTTGATATATAATAATTTGAATTGAATTGGTGTTTTTTTTTTATCTCACTCTCTCGCGCTCTCCCTCCCC